GATTTTAATTCCCCAGGCAGAGGTGGCATCAGTGACAGGTCCAGTAATCACCAGACAAACACAAAATAACAAAGCAGAGCCAGGAGAGAGCGAGTTTGAGCTTGTCTGCATCCCTCAAACGGGGCTAAAAAAGAAAAACCTGAGCTTATATGCAGCTCCTGGGCCAGAGGGTTTGTGGGGACGGGCTCAGAGCAGGCTCATCTGGGCTTGTTGGGCCCTGGCACTGCCAGTAACAATCTGCAACACAGCAGGTTCCCCCCATTTCTGCTTTTTTGTTTCCCTTGGATCGCTAGAAAGGGATGCAGATAGATGGAAATACAAAGACTCAGAGCTGGAAGAGCCCAGAAATCAGTGAATGCCCCCAGTGATGGTTTGAAGTGATGCTTGGGATGAGGTCAGGTGTGACAGAACAGACCCTGTGCTGGGGCTGGAGGACCCTCCAGTGGGAATTTTTCTAAAGGTTTCTTTCCAGGCAGTGCTTGGAGGTTGTTCTGAGGTGGAAAAAAAAAGCAAAGAAGAGTTGAGGTGCTGCAAAAATGGTCCTAAGCTGGGATTGATGGTTTATCCTCAGAGAGCTCTGCTTGTGGTCCATTTTCTGTGCCAAACTGTGCCTCAACTCTGGCTTGAGTAGATGGTGCTTTCAGAAGCTGGAAGAAGGAAAAAGGGGAAAGTCTGAGCCAAGATACCACAGGGGAAAAGAATCAGCCAAACTGGGCAAGGGAGAGGAAGGTTTTTAGCATTTGTCAATCATCCTTGTGATGAAGAGAGAAGAGAAGAGGATGAACTGGAGGGTGTTTGTATTTGGAGCAGAGCAGTAAATTAGTCTTGTGAACTGACACAAACACTGTCAAGGGAATCCTCTAATCCTGTCCGTGGGCCTGTCTGCAGCTGGTGTCTAATTACTGTTTTGTGGTAGTTTGTTTTGTTTTTTTTTTAAGTGGAGGCAGAAAGGATGACATAAAGCAGGAAAACAAAAATGCGTTTTTCTCTCCCTGCCATTGACACGATGAGACCTCTCGGGGCACGGACACACCAGCACAGATTCCTCAGATGAGCACTGCAGAGACAAAAAGAGAAATAAAAGTGGGGGAAAAAAAAAACCACCTCAGATTAAAGACCCAGCTGAGAGGAAGGATGTTTACAGTCCTCAAGTCACTGAGCACAAATGTGTGTTTAAAGCTGTTGATTAGGGAGAACTTCAGAAGATAAACAGCCAAGATACTTCCATGGCCTGGGGTTTTTTTTTTCCATATTTCCAAGTTTTGGGTCATTTTCCACAATCCCAGGCTGGAAAGGCTTTGCTGGCTTAGGCTGATAACTCAAGATCTCGCTGACACCCCAACATTCCTCCATCACTCCCAAACCCTGAGACCTTGGGTCCAAAACTGACTCACAACACAGCAGAGCGGGGAGGAATTGATGTTAAGAACCATTTACACTGAAAACAAGAGCGAGGGGGGTGGAGTTCCCTGTTCCATGAGTCACCCCCGTGGCTCTCTGCCTGCGTTACCTGTCTGACAATGCTCCTCTCATCTCACAATGTTCCTTCCTCCTGTAGTCACCAAAATCACGACTGACAAGCGCAGGAGGCAGGCTGAGATAGACTCAGCTTTCCAAACCCTCCTCTGAGTTTGTTGGGGGCTTTTTTTTTTTTTTTTATAAATTTTTAAAGGAAAACTAATCATTTGTAGTAAGTGAATGACTTCTGGAGCGAGGGCTTCGGGGCAAATCCCAAATATCTTAAAAATGTCAGCAGCAGCAGCAGCAGCACCCAGAGCCATCCCACTGCAGCAGCAGCAGCAGCATGGGAGCTGGAATTTGAGAGGCAACTAGATGGACGTGTAAAAACAATGGGATTATTTGGGTTTACAGGGGTAACAAAACCTCAGTTTACCTTCCCATGGGTTTTTTTATTGGCTTTCTAAATCTGCAGCTGCCCACAGTGAAACTGGAAATAGTTGCTTGCTGAGACTGTTTGCCAGAAATACCATCGGTGGTAAGAGGGCACAACACGAGACAGGGCATAAATTAGGGCTGAAAAAGTCCAAATAATCAGAGCAGTGTTCCCAGCCTGCCCCATTCCTGCTGCCTGACCTTTCCACCTCTCACCTGCGTCCTCCTGAGGCCACAGAGAGCTGAATTCGGGGTTTGGGGAGGGAAAACAGACTCACTGCTCCTTCTGCATCTGTTTTTTGTGGGGCAGGGAGAGCAGGGCACAAAGCCCCTCTCCTTTTCCCCCCGAATCAGCCACAATATTCCAGGCCCTGGCATCGATTGGATTGCACAGAATCCAGAATAAAGGTCCTGCTTGATCTTTGATCCCATTTTTTTGTTCCATAAGGGAGCAGTGGGGGCACATGGGACGTGCTGGGAGAGCACAAGTGGACAGAGTGCAGCTGCTGAATGTCTGCAGCAACATATATATACATAAATATAAATATAAATATAAATATATATATATATATATACACTTTCCAGAGGGTGGCTCTGGTGTTTTGACCCGAGATGCTGTACAGAATCTTATGGAATAGAGCTCAGAGCTTGGGAACACAGAAAGCAGCACATTTATCAGTGTTTGGAGAGCAGATTGCCATCAGAGATCCAGGGAGGCCCTGGGACAGAGTTAATCCCCTTTGGGATACAAGAGCTTCATCCTGGGGGTCTTTAGGGCTCTGGAAGAACTGGTTTGGCTCCTTCCAACCCAAACCAATCTGGGTACAACCCTGATGCAGCATCACCCCCACCCTCCCCACCTCTCCCCTGCTCTGCCTCCATCACCAGATTTGAGCCAAACAACCTAAAAAGAGGAAGGGAGTGGGAAAAAAAAAAAAAAAAAAGCAGAAAAAACTCAACAGGCCCTCAAGATTTAGGAGCAGGGATGGATTTTAACACCACTAAGGGTTCACAGGCCACAAAAATACATGGGATCTCATTCCCATGGTGCTGACAGGGTAAACAAATAACACAAGTTCCTGTAGCCTGGCAGCTTCCAAAAACCCCCTCACTTCTGGCCCTCACAGAAACCACTCACGACGTCGGGGGCTGCTTTTTTTTTTTTTTTTAAACAACCCATAATCAAGCAGCTCTGCAAGCTTGTGACAAATGCCAAAGCCAAATTACATCTTTGGGAGCGAGTCGGCACTTACTCAGCAGGAGGTGAGTGGAAAGAAACTTGGAGTTGACAAACAAGGAAGATAAACGGGGAGGGGAGGGAAGAGCAGTCCTGACATTTCCAGGGGTGAGGGATGAAACACTTCATGGCAAAGGATCTCAGGAGGCTGATAGCACATTTGATTGGACTTAATCTGATCGGGAGCAATTGGATGGGGCTGCTGATACTTGGGTGTCTTCAACCTTTTGAAAACAAGGCAGGAATTCCAGCATCACTTATTCAAAATGCACTCAAAGGCCAGCTGGGGGTTTCTTCAGTGTTCCTGCAGCACAGACAGGGAGACAATGCAGGGTGAAACCTCTAAACTCTAATAATTTTTGCTACTATTCACCATTTAATCCCTGGCAGTGTACAAGGGAAGGCATCAAGGGCTGTGAATTGGGCAGAGAATTGGTTTTAAGGAAGAAAACTTGCTGCCCATCCCAGTTCCTCAGCACACTCAACCAGCCACTTCATCAGCACTGGAGCAGCTCTGTTAGAAAAGAGCCTCCTGCTCCCTCCCAGACCCATCAGCCGCTGATTTGAATCTCAGGAGGGGCTGGGATGGAATTCCCAGAGGAGCTGTGGCTGCCCCTGGATCCCTGGAAGTGTCCAAGGCCAGGTTGGAGCAACCTGGGCTGGTGGGAGGTGTCCCTGGTGGAACTGGGTGATCTTTAAGCTCCATCCCAACCCAAACCATTCCAGGATTCTCCAGCAGACAGTGTGGGATGGGATCTCTGTGCTGTCCAGGATGCTCCATTTTCTCTCCCTGCGTGTCATTCTGAGGCAACAAAGTCTCCCCACTACTGATGAACCAAAAAAGGTTACATTAATAAATTAGCATGCAGATCCCACCCCAAAAAAAAAAAAAAAAAAAAAAAGAGCAAGGGGACAGACTCTGACACTGGCTATTTTCTATTTTTAACAGCCTCTGGCAGGGCTCCTGCATTCCATTTACAGCGAGCCAGGAGTTGCAGCAAACAGGAATTGTTATTGTTTACCCAGCTTTACACTCAGCCTCACACAGCTGATTCCCTAAACCCCCATTTGTTTCACCTTCTGTCTCAGCACAGAATGGGAAACGGGCACAAATGCTGCATTTAAAGGAGGGAACAACCAAAAAAAAAAAAAAAAAACCCTCAGCCTGATTTGGGCATTTAGAAGCCCAAATTGTTTTGTTGTTTTGCCTCTGCCAGTGACTTCAGCCAGAAAGTTCTTCGAGAATGTTATTTCGTTGTTTCTCGCTGAAGGACAGGAGCATTAATTTGCTGAGAAAAGATCTGAGGTTGGGGATATTTGAGTTCGTGCACAGCTGCAAAAGAGGCCATTGCTTTCTCCAGCACAGCATTTCTGGTCTTCAGACCTGGTTGATACTGGAAGTAACAGTGACACTGCTCCACCTGAGCCAGCTCAGAGGGAAAAGCTTTGGGAACAGCCAAAAGTGGCCCTGGACAACACGGCAAACAACTCTCTGCTCTAGATTATGTCTGGATCATGTTGCAAAACTGGCCTTAGAAGTGCTATTTTCACTTATTTCTCACCCCAGCATTGCAGGGAGTTTCATTTTCCTGTTCATTCTCATTCAGACAATATTGGTTTCATTTCTGAGCAAAGCAAAGTCCCAAAGAAGAGAATGAGGGGATCTTGTTGCAGTGATGTTCCAGTGGATAATACCTTTGCAAACAATTCCCCATAAGCAGCAGTGCTGACTCTTTGGTGTTTTAAATGCATCTCTGTGGCTCTATAGGAACATTTCTCCCTGAATAAATGGCTTCAGCATTTACTGACGTCCCATTCAAGTCATTTAAAGTGAAAATTTCCCCTCAGATCAGGAGCTCAAGTCGTAGTTAAGCAAAAACCCAAAGGTTTGGCCTCAGGAAAAATGTTCCCAGGATTTTAAATCAGTTTTAAATAACTCATAATTGTGTAGAATAAGAAGTCCCATTGTGCTTTCCTTGCTAAGGAGACAGCTAAGATCTTGCTCTTTGAATCATTTTTGGGAGGTAACCTGGCAAGTAATATATCAGAAAATGTATAAAAATATATATATATATCCTGGCTGCCTATGAGAGCCTCCCCAGTGCTTACTGATGTAAGAAGGAAACTTTCCTTTCACTTCTCTGAATTTCAGAAGCATTCCATGAGACAGGAAAATAGGCATAGTTAGATTTTCTAAAGGTTTCAGGGAAAATGAGTGCCCAACACTTGAACATTCTAGCAGTCAACCCAGCAATCCCTCTTTTCTCCAGCTCTGACTTCTGAAATGGTGTGATTTTCTTGCCATTTGAGAGCCCTTGTGATGACCTTCTAGATATGGCTGTCATTTGGGGAAGTAATCTTGAATTAGGAGTCCCAGAGGAGGCAATTTTCCTCCGTCCCTGGTATCTGCCAGGCTGGAAAAGGGAATATAGTAATAATAATAATAATAATAATAATAATAATAATAATAATAATAATAATAGAGCTGCACTGACTGACATCTGACAGCATCCATGCCACTGTCTGACACCATACATTCTGAATCACTTCTTCCTGCAGGAATTGCGCTCCCACTCGCAATTTTATTTTTTTTTTTTCCCTCCAAGTCAGAACAGAATCCAATTTATTTTCCCCCCAGTGTTTTAGTTTCTCTGGTTACCTGCGATTCCTCACTGCCTCTTTGCCTTAACAACTCCGCGTTGTATTTTCCATTTTAGGCTCTTTCTTTCCTGCAATCAAACCCCCGGACACCCTTTTTAAAATAACATTCTGGCTGGGATATTTAAACAGCTGCATCAACCCCATCATCTACCCCTGCTCCAGCCAGGAGTTCAAGAAAGCTTTCCAGAACGTCCTGAAGGCTCAGTGCCTTCCCGGGAAGCAGCCGGCCAAGAAGAAGAAGAAGAAGCAGCAAACCCCGAGCTTCAACCTCAACCACCCCGCCAACCAGGCCGTGGGGAGCACCAAAGGGGTGCTCAGGATCCCCGTGGGCTCGGGGGAGACCTTCTACAGGATCTCCAAGTCGGGCGGGGTGTGCGAGTGGAGGGTCTTCTCGGCCGCGCCCAACGCGCCGGCGGCGAGGAGCGCCGTGGCCAAGGACTGCACGGCGGCCAAGGCCAGGAGCAAAGGGCTCCTCCAGGAGTGCTGCTGCGCGGGCACCTCGGGGAGCCTGGCCCAGCAGGGCAGCTGCAGAGTGCCCACCGTCAAGGTCCACACCATCTCTCTGAGCGACGGCGGGGAGGACGTTTGAAAATGTGGAAAACTCCTCGGGGGGTTGGCGGTGATGGTGGTGGTGGTGGTGGTAGTTGGGGGGGTGTCTGGTGGGGAAGGAGGTGTTGGAAGTGTCCAGGTGAACCAACAGAATGGTGTAAAACAGGGGCAGACCCCCTGAGGAGCGAGGTCTTTGAGTGCTGAACAAAGCCCCTCGAAGGCAGCAGGTTGTTTTTTCTGAGGGCCCAGGGTCAGCGAGTGATTTCCCTGGCACTTAAAGGTCTTATCCCGGTGTTCTCCTCTCTCAAAAGTTCCTGCTGCTCTGGTTTAGGCGCAGTGGAGGAGAAAGAGTGAACTGCTGGTTTCAGCATCTGACACCTCCACCTTTAGAGCCGTTTTGTGGCTCTGCCCCCACCCAAAAAAAAAAAACCCCAAAACCCTAAAGCTCAGTTGTGGATTTCCTTACACTGCATTTGCCAGGGGGAACTTAATCCACGTGACTGCACCCCCACCGAGCCTCAGAGACCAAGCAGAACTCTCCTGTTTTGTGCAACCAACCTCCCAAACCTCCAGCCCCAGCCCAAGGAGAATTTGCATGTGTCCTTGGTTTGCTTGGACTGACAAAACCCCAAACTAGGTAAGTCGCCATCAACCAAGGCCCAGAGAGGCCCCTCTCGCTCATCCAGTTGTTTTTTTCTTGCCCTGAGGCCAGCAGGAACCCGCTGAAAGGCTCAGGAATTCCTTGCTCAGGTGCTCGATAGCCAGATCAGTGCCAAAGTCACTGGAAAAGCTGCAGAGTTTTTGCTGTCTCCCTGCCCTGTGTTTTGCTACATTCCTCTTCTGACTCCTTCAAACCCCAGTGCTCCAAGCTTTCCGTGAGATTCCTGGAGTCAGGAACTTTACCCCTGTTCTGAGCAGTGGGAGTTAAGGACATCCATCCCCCCTGAGAAAGGGCCCTCCTTTGGGAGTTTGGGAGAGAAGCATGTTATATTTGAATACGGCTAATCCAAATAAATAAATAAATGGAGATGGTCAGCATCTGGAAGAAATGGTGGGAGGAATTCTCTGTACAATATTAGAAATGAGCAGCTCTTGACGTAACTCCTGAGCCTGCCAAGTAAGAATTCAGCTCCTCTGCTCGTGGCTCAGTGTGAGCTCCAGGGAAAGGGCTTCAGATAAGGCTCACTTTCCCAGGAGAGGGCCTTGAAAGGGCACCTTGGTGTTGTTGATGAGGAATCACTGTTTATTCATCTCTCACTCAGTATGAAGTGCCCAGTGTCAAGAGCCATTTCTGTGTCTTATTTATGCTCTCCCAGAAGATGAATCCGCGGCTTTGTCCCATTTTCGCTCCGAGCAAGAAACCCATCTCGCTCCTCAGGTGCTTCAGGTCCAGAATCTGAAAGCAGAAGGGTGGAAATACCACGAAAGAAAATATTCTCATGGTCCTTCAAGCCAAGGCCAGAAGGAAAAAAGCTGGAAATCTCATAAGGGAGTCACGTGAGCCCCGTGGCCGAGGTTTGAGGTCCCAGGGGATTCGGGTACGTGGGACGTTTATTTGGACAGAACCTGAAACATTTTGAAACCCACCCGTTAAATTGAGCCAGACTGGCAAGATTTAAAGCCTTCCCTGCACACACTGGCTGCCCAACCCTATCTTATTTTAGAACCAATAGTTGTTTTATGGCCAGTGAGGTCCTTTGTGCCTCCTCTCCTTCGGAGCTGAGAGATTTGCCCGGAGTCACTCCCGTAATTTCAGATTTATTGAGTTTCAGGGTGTCACAGGCTGGCACAAAGGGACTCATTTAATTCCACAGCAGTTCTGATGCAGCAACACAATCTGAATGTGCAAGATGAAGATAAATAACTCCCCGTGCTGGTGGCAGTGGCGGGATGGACACAGATAAGCCAACCTTGGGAGCAGACAGTGCTGGGAGAGGCAGAGGTTGGAATGATGAAGCCTTGGTCTCATCCTTATCCTTTTTTATTTTTTTCTATCAAACAGTTGCTAAAGGCCTCTGAAAAGCCCTCAGCATCAGGCCAGCCTGGTCCCAGCCACACCTCTGCTGCTGCCACCTTTGCCAGCACAAACAAACACGTCATTTGTTTGGCTCACACAGGGAATTTCTGCAGGGAAATCTGCCCCCTTCCCTTGTTGCAAAGCAGGGTCATTGGCACTTGTCATCTCGATGGGTATTTGGCCTGAAAAGCCTCAAAAACCATAGAAGGAGCTCTAGGAAGAAGAGGGGGGGGGGAGGGGGAAAGAGTGCAGATTTAAGACTGTGTATTTGTGTTATTTAAAGGGAACTTAGCACTGGTGAAAGAGGCCCTGACTGAAACCTTTGAGGGGTGATGGGACACCCCCCCATCCCCCGCTGTCTGTTGGGAGTGAGTGACAGCCAAGATTTCCATCTGCAGAGGGGCAGAGTCGCTGCTGCAAAGGGCTGGGAGCTGGAGCCTCCCAAAGATAATTCCCACAGCTCTCTCCTCCTCCCAGGGCCAGGGAAGTTCAGTAGTCCACTTTCCACAGTTAATTCAGATTTACTGTCTCATGTTCTTGAGGCTTCACGTACTTTGCAACGTTATTCAAATCCCAAATACTCAAGCTCTGCCCACTATCCAAACAAATGTCTTCTCGTTTTTATATTTTTTTTTTTTAATTTTGCTCTGCCGAGTCCAGGGATAAATTGTTCATTGTGCAAGAGAGTGTTTCCCTTCTCCAGCTTTTAAAACCCATGGCACTGAAAGGAGAAAAGATTAAGCTTCTTGCTTTTTCTGCTCGGAGCAAGCAAATGGATTCCACAAAGCACCTTCGGGTTTACTCGCAGAATTTCCCTGCCTGACTCCTTCAGTTTTCTGAGAGGCAGCACTGACAGGCTGCAGCATCTCATACTGATTGAAGGCACTTAAAGAAAGATCTTATTGCTTGACTGAAGTGCAAGTGCTTCGTTCTGGATGTGCCTGTTGGCCTCCTGTCAGCCCATGCTCCCGTTTAAATGGGCTTTTATTGGGAACTTGGTTTTAAAACAAAGCTACTGAGGCACTGAGAGACTCAGTGATTCGCTCCAGGAAGATTCCAGCTGTCCCATGTTGAATTAATTAACTCCACATCCTACTCAGAGATACCTTTATCCTCTTTCCTGCCTTAATATGGTTTGGATAAGCGAGACAATGTGGAAAACTGACTGCAGGGGCCGGGCTGGTGACACTGGTTATTTCTGGATGATCCCTTCCCCCAGCAGAGCCAAACAGGAAAACCAGTTGGGCTTCAGAGGATTCCACTGAGCTCGAGGCACGTTTGGGACCTGCCCCACAGTGCCATGGTCTGCCAGGAGGAGAAGGTGAGAGCAGTTTGTGCATCTGCTCTCTCTGCCTCCCCAACCCCTTCCCGTCCCCTCCTGCCCGTGGAATCTCACTGGCTCATCATCCCAGGCCGCTTCCCAAGGAGCCCAAGAGCCAGCTAACACTTTTTATGAATGAATCCCTCCAACATTAATTCTGTTTCTTGCCTGATTGTATTGAGGCTTCCAGGGAGGAGGTTGAACTGCCTGGCCAGGCTAATCCTGGCTTTTCCTATCAGTGCACCATCTGTAAAAAAAAGAGCTTAATCCCTAAGCACAAGCAACTCTTTTTGAAGGATATTTCCAAACAGGCTGTTTAATCCATGACAGTATTATAAAACAAGACACTCCAGAGGGAGCTCGTGGTGCCTCCAAACACAGCTCTTGATAAATGTCATGGAATGAATCTCTTATTTCCCAGGGGTAGATGAAGGCTTTGTCTCAGGGACTGGAGGGAAATGTCGTGTCTTCTCCCCTGCACGTTTCTCAGGCTGACAGGGAAGGAGAGAACAGCCAGTGTGAGCTCAGGGGAAGTGAATTGAAGAGAAAAAACACACCTGTTGGTCCCACAACACCCTTGAAGGTTGAGTTAAAGCAGGTTGGTGTCTCAGGGTAACCCTGAGCTCAGACCCAGAGGCTGAGAAATAGCCTCTCCTTTCTCATCACAACGAGGTGAAGGTCTTTTTCAGAGGGAAAAAAACCCCTCCAAGGGTTAGCAGAGAGAAATAAAAATCCTTTTCTTTTCCTGACAAGACCTTCTTTGCCTTGATCTGAATTTCTCCTCTGAGCTGCAAACACTCATAAACCCCTTTGTCTGGAGAAGAAAACACAAATGCACCCAAAATTCCAGCAGATTCCCACTCCCAAAGCCATCCCACTCAGCTGATGGTCCAAACCCCCCCGCTGGATATCCTGAATATTCCATTCTCCCTGTGGGAATTGCAAACAGGCTGGTTTGGGCTTTTTTTTTTTTTTTTTGGTGGGTTGTTTGGTTACAAAACTGTTTTCCTTCTGTCCTGCAGCGTTTTGCCTGCATGTTGTAGGAGTTTGGCTGCCTGGGGGGTTTTTTTTAAAGATGTTTCCTGGAGCAGGTCCTGCGTTTTTCCAGGCGTTGCATTCCGTTGTCATTGCATTTTCTACGTCTTAAAGGCTTCTCCTGTGTTGACATGTTTGATGCTGGTCATTTCCTTGAACAAAAGTGAATGTATATAAAACCTTGCCAGGTGAACAAATAAATTATTTGGGGGGGGGGGGGGAACGTGCATTTTTTGGGAGCTGCAAGTCTGTTTGATTGTTCGTCTCTTACCTCCCAGATGTTGATACGAAATATTGAGATAAATATTTGCACGAAGGCGTCTTCTCCTTTCCATCAAATTTTCAGGTAGAGATCCCTCCCAACACTTCAGATCTCGGTGGGAGCGAGGCACGAGGTGAATAAAGGCATTAAACTCATATTTGTGCTGCAAAAATCAAAGTTAAGCCCTTAAAAAATATTTTTTTTTTTACCAAGTTCATTTGGGCTCCAAGATCCTTTACTGTGCTCTCATTCAGTTTGCTTACAGTAAAACATCATTTCCCAGATGAAATCCAGCCCATTTTGCTGAATTCCTTATAAACAAATAGCAGGAGAACAATCCCTGTCGACCCAAGAATGTAAATCCTCGTTGGGAAGGACGGGGCTGAGTTATTATTTCCCGTGATT